ATCAAAATCTGACAGTAATTTCTGGAAACTTCCTATCTGTTTTTAAGCTAAATGGTCTGGCCACTACGGAAGCACAGTGCTAATCAAAGCATTGGTTAAATACACAGCCTGAGTTTCAGGCTGTACCCTGGTAGTTTTATTCAATCTCAGTAGTTTGAAATATATTCTCATAGGCTGTGGTTGTACCCCTGACCACAGTGTGTACAAAGCCTGCAAGAGTCGGGAGAAATACAACAGGCACTAAAAAACTCTATTTTCTAGCTGAGAAACTTCAGCAGCACTTTAGGTAGATTTGGATCAGAATATAATAAAAATACATATCAGCAAGAATGTTAACACTGGCTTTTATAGTTGACGACAGTTTGTCTTTGGATCAAGCTTGTATGACTTTTTGTAAGAGGTGCCCCAAATGTCGTTGGTTATTTAGTTTGGGTTAAAGCTCTGTAGAGGGTCAGACAAGAAAATGGACCCTACATGTCATATGCTCAAGGCCATTTTTAATGGAGCATCTTTGATGTGAGGAGAGGCTGAGACAGCTGAAACTGTTGAGCTTGGGAAAGGGAAGGCTCAGATGGCATCTTATCAGTGTATATAAATACCTGATGAGAGGGAATGAAGAAAAGGGAGCCAGGTGCTTCTCAGTAGTGCCCATTGACAGGACAAGAGGCAATGTGAAAAAATCAAATCACAACAAATTCCATCTAAACACACAAAGACCATTTTTAAATTATTATGTATTTTTATATTTTTTACCGTTAGGGTGGTCATACAGCATGATAGGTTGCCAGGAGAGGTTATGGAGTCTCCATCTGTGGAGATATTTAAAACCTGACTGGATACCTTCCTAGATAATCTGCTTCAGCTGCCTCTGCTTGAGCAGGGAAATTAGATTAGATGAACTCAAGAGGTCCCTTCCGATCTAAACACCTCTGTGATTCTGTCGTCATAGCACTGTCTTTACTATACAGACATTACACTGTCTTTAGCTCTTGTCATGTATGAGGTGATTTTCTGGGCCAAATATATTAAGCATTTTGGTTAAAGAACTGGGATAACATTACCTAGAGTAAGACACTATATCTCCATAGGGTAGCACCTCCTCAGGAAGTTCAGAAGTGTCTTCCAGTGGTGAAAAGGATGTAAATTTCTTACTGCTTTAATTAGAGACTCTTTTGGGGGATTAGGGTTTCTCACATGTTGACAGCCTGGAAAGAGGACCTCTAGCAGGGAAGGACAGGAAGGATAGCGGAGGAAAAAACAGTTTTGAAAAGGACCATGCCTGCTGCTTTCAATACGGCACAGCCAAAAATGTTGAGTCCGTCCTCGCCCTGGTGGCCTCACCCCCAGTACCTGTCACTCTGCAATGGGCAAATGGCCCTCTAGAAGGTAACAGAGGTAGGTAAGTAACAGAGAACCCAGGCACACTCTACTCAATGGTGCCCCAAATTTGGCCCTCACTTAGCTTCCTACATAAAGGCAGTGGTATCTCAGAGAAAGACCTGACAATTTTGACTGTTTCCTGAAGGATGAACCATGTCCTGTAATCAATTTCCTCAAGAACAGCAAAGGCCAAAGCTCTGGAGTGACTGAAGCTAGGGGTTTCCTTCATATAAAGCCCTGATCAGACCCACAGGATTGCCATGGTTCCTCAAGACACTCTACCCATATCCAATGGCTGATCTGTTTTTCCAAGCTGGGTCTTTCACTTTGGTGCTCTACTCTGTACCCAGACAATCTGCCCTCCCATGCCAGTGGGGTCACGCATAGAAGTAAGAATCCTTGCCATCTGTATTGCAGTTCATTTGAAATGTGGAGTGGAAAGACAGAAGAGGTTTCTTGGATTTTTTTTTAATTGCAAAAGCTTATTGACTGAATTATTTTGATTCCCAAACTGCAGTGAGAATCAAGAATGAAGAGAGAATATCCTCTCATGCACAAAAGCAAGTTTTCACACAGTAAATAGGAGAGAAGTAATGAATGATATAAAAAATAGAATACCTGAATCATTATTGTGGTTTGGGCCAATACATATAATACCAGATTAATGAACAGAATGAAAAAAATATCATTATTGATTAATACATTAAGTGGATGCAGCGAGAAGATTCTAACCTTTGGGACAGATAACACTAACAGGTGGCCAACCCACAAGGGAAGAAATTTTATCTAACTCAACTCTGAGAAATTAAGTTATCTGAGAAGATCATGAAGCATTTGCTGACAGGAATTTGTATATGACCATGAGTTTGATATAGGAGAAACACCATCTTACAGAAAAGATCTTTTGTTATTTTTTTCACAAATATAAATCTAGTGCATTCTGTACAAGACAAGCAGACATCTCTCCACTTGCTCCCCTCCCTATTTAATGTGGCTTTAGCCTATCTATATGGAGGGGAGGGCTATGTCTTTCAAAGGTCAATTACATTTTAAGTTTTTTCTCTATATTCCTAGCTAGGACTCTTTAAAAGGCTTTTTCAGCTATTCATTTTAACACCTGGACATGGTCAATATCAGTTTGGAAATGGCAGTGGCAGAGTGGGTCCGTTTGTGGGTTCTGTGGTGCCCTTGCTGTGTGGAATTTCATAAGCTGTGTCGGCTGGGCAGCAATCAGGAGGACATCAAAGCAAAATCTCTAAAATACTTTCCAGGCCATCTTTCCCTGTGAGTTTCTCCCCAGCCTTCCATTCCCTCCCATGCACGCACTTGTTCATTGTTGAACTCCCTGTGGACTGTACTAGCTTTGACTGCTGTTGGCTCTCACACCAAGCCAAAGCCTTTGCAGAAAAGTAGAACCAATTACTTGATACTTCTGAATTGGATAAGACTTAGCAAAGCAGTGTAGGAGAGAAGAGAAGGGAAAAGAAGGGGATCTCTTCCACAAGTAGTCCCAGATCCCAGTACAAATCCAGCCTTTTTGTAGTTTTCCTAGGTTTAAATAATTATGTTGTTAAATAACTGGATTCTTAAGAATGACCAGATTTAGGAGCAACGGGGGCTGGAAGTTGAAGGAATTGTAATAAGCTCTGGTCACAGACAGACCAATGTAAAAGCTAAGGGAAAAGGCTTTGTTCTTACCACTCATCTTCTTGGGATGCCATCTTCCTTTTAAGCAATGTGAGGTCCTATTTCCTCCCAAAAAAGGCATCATGTGAGTCAGAATGTTTCATGGGAAGACATCCTGAGTTTGTAGGTGCAGAGGTGAGCCACTGGTTTTATACCGGAGCTCTGTTTTCCCGCACATTGTTTAAGACACATCCAAGAATGCTGCAACCCTCAGGCTCTTGGCCTACATTAGGCAAAGTTTTACTAGCAGGTTGAGGGAGGTGATGCTTCCTCTCTCCTCAGCACTAGTGAGACCACATCTGGAGTAGTGAGTCCAGTTCTGGGCTCCTCAGCAGAAGAGAGATGTGGACATACTGGAATGAATCCAGACCATGAAGGTGATTAAGATATTGGAACATCTCTCATACAAGGAGAGGCTAAGAGAGCTGGGACTTGTTTAGACTCAAGAGGAAAAGGCTCAAGGGGATCATCTTATTGACCTGTAAAAAAGACATAGCCATAATCGTCTTAGTGATATTGAGTGAGAGGACAAGAGGCAGTGGGCCTGAAACAGAATTTCTATTTAAGCATAAGAAAAAAGTTTTACCATAAAGGTGATCAAACACTCAAACAAGTTGCCCAGAGCAGTTGTGGAGTCTCCATCCTTGGCGATATTCAAAACTGAACTGGACACAGATCTGAGAAGCCCACTGTAATTAACCTTCCGCTGAGCAGGAGATTGCACTAGGTGATTTCCAGAGGTACCTTCTGACCTTGACCATCTCATGACTCATTCTGTGAGCTTGCTCCAAAGCCAGGAGAGGCTCCCAAGCCTAGGGTGCCTGTGTTCCATGCACAGGGAGGTAGTCATCAGGGAGAGTGCTGCCACAGGTGCCTTAAATGGAGTCTCCATCCTTGGCGATATTCAAAACTGAACTGGACACAGATCTGAGAAGCCCACTGTAATTAACCTTCCGCTGAGCAGGAGATTGCACTAGGTGATCTCCAGAGGTACCTTCTGACCTTGACCATCTCATGACTCATTCTGTGAGCTTGCTCCAAAGCCAGGAGAGGCTCCCAAGCCTAGGGTGCCTGTGTTCCATGCACAGGGAGGTAGTCATCAGGGAGAGTGCTGCCACAGGTGCCTTAAAGTGCTGCCCTATAGCTGGCTGGAGGGAGTGAAAAAGTATGTCTCTGAAATGGGTCTGAAGCAGCTGGCTGTAGCTCAAAATGCCATCAATGTCCAAGCTTCCTTCCTGCCTAATTTTCTTGGCTGCACAGATTAGTGACTTTGGGTCAGAAATGTCAGCAGGCACGTGAGGTACTGAGGTCCTTTTGGCTTGCTTGGAGCATGCTGCCTCTGACTAGTAATCCCTTTTTTTGTTATGGGCTAGCTGTGCCTCTGCCTTAGGACCAAGTCTGTCTCTGCTGCTACCTCAAGGACTTCCTTTAACAAGCAGTAGAGATGGGTTTCTGAGAGACATGGTCTCACTGCATTAGGCTAAGGAGATCAAGAGGATAAGGTCATGCGTGTTAACCTGGCACTCTGTTAACATTTTACTTTTTGCCTAAAACCTTGGAGACTAGAATAGCAGGAGGCCTGGAAGGCCATGCTTTAGTACAGCTGACACAAAATGTGATCCAGGTCTTTGAAGTGAGAGGCACCAAGGACTACAATTAGAGAGAGTCAAGCATCTGTCTGGAGGCCAGAAAGGATTAGAAGGCTGAAGGAGGTTCCCTTCTAAAAAGGATCTTTTATATGATGAGGGGCTTTGCCCAGAGGTGTAGTGTATAAAGGCCTAAGCTCAACTCAAGCACAGCTGTGAGAGTGCTCAGGCTCCAGTGGCAGAAATATCCCCTGCCATGGCATGGTTTGCATGGCATGTCTGATCTGGTTTTCTTTGTGCATGTTGTGATGTTTCTGACGGGCTGTGGTGTTTCTGCAGCACTCAGCAATGGCCGAGAGCTCAGCTGTGGCAGCAGCAGGGACAGCGGCACCAACCGTGCTAGATGAACTCCTGGAGATCACAGCTCAGAGTCTGGTGCGCACTGAGGTGGCCGAGCACTATGAGGTTATTCGTGAGCTGGGCAGGGGCAAGTATGGCCACGTGATGCTAGTGACACACAGGCAGAGAGGTAAGGAACCAACTGCACCGTGTGAGCTACTGTGCCTTGCCTCCTCTCCACTCACCAGGGTGCTGGGTGGGCTGGTGGCTCCTTGGGGCCAGGCACCAGGAATGGTGGGGGGGTCCCCTGGGACACCAGCAGGACAGGGACTTCCCCAGCCAGGGAGCATGCCACTACTCAGCCAGGGAGCAGGTGATACCAGGGGGCAGGCCAGAACATCAGGCATGATTATAATCATGAGACAGGTCCAAGGTCAAGCCAGAAAGTCAATCCACAATCAGAATCAATAGGGTTCATGGCTAGGCACTGGCATGGATGTGATACAGCTGGAAAGCAGCACTCCCAGCACACTGCTCAGGCAGGGAGTGAAGCCCCAAGCCTGAGCTTATATGATGTCCTAAAGCCCACAGAGAGAGAGAGTGGAGGTCTTAGGTGGGTTTGGCCAAGGCCATTAAGGCCTATGAGTTCCCATAGGGTCCTGACACTACCCCTCCTGAGTAGTCCCAGCTTGAACTGATGGGCCCACGTAGCCTGAATTTCCCTTGCTCTGCCCAGTGCTCCTCTGCATGCACTGATTGGCTCAAAACTCACACCAGCAGCAGAACCTGCTCCCAGATCTGGTGTTCTGGGTATGTCCACACAAAACTTTGGGCCAGAGACTCCCTGTGGCTATGAATGTCCAAATCCGTGACTGCTCAGTGCCCTCTGTCTGGCCTTGGTGTGAGTCACTCTCAGGAGAGCCTAACCCACTCTCCCATCCCCAGGGACTCCTATGGCTCTCAAGCTTCTACCCAAAGCCAGTACCAAGCTGCACACCTTCCTGTATGAGTATTGCGTGGCCCTCTCCCTTGCCACCCACCCTGCCATCATCGGCATGTTTGGAATTGCCATTGAGTCCAGCCAGTACTACGGCTTCCTCTATGAACCAGCACTGCACAAAGACCTCATCTCTATCATCAAACCCCGGGTGAGTGCTCCTACAAGGCCAGGGGGACTACTACTGTAGCGTTTGGCCCTTATGCAGGCTGGTTGGGTCAGAGGGAGGGAGATAAAGGCAGTGGGCTGTGGGTCTCTCTGGGGTCTACAGCCCTGAAGCAGCCTCAGGCTTGCAAGACCAAACATGCAAAGGTCTTCTCCAGTACGGAGCGTGTAGGTGAGAGCCCAGCTGGCAGGGCTGCCCAGGAGCCCTGCGTGTGCTGTAACCGCCTGCCTCTCTCCCTCTGCAGGACGGGATCCCCGAGCCAGCCGCTAAGCAGTGTGCCAAGCAGCTCGTCAGTGCCCTGGAGTTCATCCACAGCCGAGGGCTCGTGTACCGCGATGTCAAGCCTGAGAACGTCCTGCTTTTTGATCCCGAGTGTCGGCGCATCAAGCTGACTGACTTCGGGCTTACGCGGCCCAAGGGTACCAAGCTCAAGCTGGTGGCCGGGGTAATCCCCTACACCGCCCCGGAGCTGAGCAACACCGCTAATACCCAGGGGGTGCCCATCGACACCAGCTTGGATGCCTGGGCCTTTGGCGTGCTGCTTTTCTGCCTGCTAACTGGCTACTTCCCCTGGGAGCAGAGCCTGCCAGATGACCCTTTCTTTGAGGACTTCATGCTGTGGCAGGAGACGGGCTTGGAGGAGAACCTGCCCCGCCATTGGAAACGCCTGACGGCCGAGGCTGCCCTGATGCTGCGGAGCCTGCTGGCCCTAGATCCTGCCAAGCGTGGCCCCGTCAGCGGGGCGCTGAGCTATGTCGATTGCCCTTGGCGGATGGAGGACAGGCACAGTGAGGAGGCTGCGGTGAAGCCCTAGACCCTACTCCCCATGGTAAGGAGGGAAGGCAGGTCTCATCCTGCAAGGGGCTTCGAGGTTTGGGGCACCACGGTGGTCCGGGTGTGAGAGGCCATGGTGACCCGGAGAGCAGATTCTCTGCAGCACTGTCTCTGCCACCACAGAGCCAGGCTCCTTCTCCAGCTCACGGTCCTCACCCCGTGGCTCAGTGCTTCCCAGTGCCACCTCCTTGTGCTTCTTTGGGGCTTGAAAACATCTCCTTTCTCTTGGAAATGACTATCTGCGTGTGAAGCATCCACTCGCTTCCTGGCCACAGCGACTCCAGGGTGTTTTCTAGGGGCTGCAGCACCTGCTTGGTCTCAAATAGAGCAAAATGCTCACTTTTGTGTTTCTGTTTGTGGCTCTTTTTCCCTCATAATAAAATGCCTGTGAGGGCCTGCTTGCTGTGGGAGAGCAGGGGCATGACAGAGCCTGCGGCCATCTCAGGAAAACCTGCTCAAGGCAAGGACCACCACTGCATGTTGCCTGGGCCTCCACCAGGACCCTTGAAGGGTGGCTTCAGGACAGTGGGGTGGAGGTGCTGGGGAGCCCTGCAGAGGGTAGCTGGGGTCTGATGATGACACTGAGAAGGTCGTGGGAGCCATGGAGGTGGGGTGTTGGAGAAAGCCACAGAGAACCACATGCTGTAATCCGCCCACTGTCATGCATTTGTTCCCATTGCCTTGTGTTCAGGACCAAGTGACAGATGGGGTCTTCTGAGCCGAGAGTTGCTAGCAGTGTCAGTTTGCACAAGTGTCTCCCTCTAGTTCCCATCACTCAGGAAAATGGCATTCTGCAAACACGGACAGCCCTGCTGAAGTACAATTCACCCCTCTCCCTCCTCGAGTGGCTTAGGTGCAAGTGGAAAGGTCAGCTCACTGCCACGAACATCCACATGTAAGATTCAGCTGAGAAGACAGTAGCAGTGTGAAGGTGGTCAGCCTGGGCATCACTGGGAAAGGCTAACAGAGAAGCTGTAACCACAGGTTGCATAAATTTATCCATACAAATAACTCCAGCAAAATTCCTGTGGTGATACCTTCCAGCAGTCCTACACCATTACCTTGCTCTCACTCATCCTCCTCCAGGCTGACTGTGCCCTCCTCATAGAGCCTTCCCCTCTCTGTTTGAACCCCCACTACCACTTCTTCCATGCTCTGGTTCGCCTGAATCCTTCAGTCCCAAGGAACCATTTCCAAGACTGTCCAACACCAGCCCAAGCACAGCTCCTCCCTTGTATTGCCTTCAGGTCCTGTGACAATGTCTTTCATGCTTTTTACATACCTGGTTACCCCACTAGAAGACCTTCCTTCTCCCATTTCCTATGACCACTTTAACCCTTCCCCAGCAACACACCTCTCCTAATCCCCCAATGTCCTTCCAGGTGCATGTTTTAATCCTGGGAAGAGGGAGCAAGGAGAGATCAGGGGTTAGAAGTTCTTCTTACTTTGCTACCTCTTTCCAGTCCCCATGATTATGCTGTTGATAATCCTTTCCAGCTCCTAGCCTGATCCTATTGCTAGAAACATGCCCAGCTCAGTTTCCATTCTTGTGGTTTCGTAACTTCTACAAATGCACAGTTCCATCACCACACTTTCTAGCATCCCAGCTTTTCTTTCACCTCAGATCCTTTCCTTCACACACTCTTCTGTAGTTCCTCAACCTCCAGCTCTCTTTTTCCAGCTTCTCACCCATTAGCATTTTACCATTACTTATCTTCCCCACTAACATTTCCTTTCTACTAGCCATCACCTGGTAAACATCTTTTGCTCATTCCTCTCTCAGCAACATCACCTCTATACTAGTCTTTTGTAATTTTCCTGCTCCTTACACCACTTATCTTCTGTCTTCCTTCCAACTCCCCAACCTACCTTATCAATCAGCATCGTTCTCACCATGTTCAAGATACAGTTTTATTCTGTCCACTTCCATCTCTTAGAATCTTTGATTACCCAAAAAATGTAATAAATGATTCTCAACTCTGGCCCTCTGAGATTTGACTTTAATTGCTGTGATTACTGTGGGAATAGCAGAGGAATTTTAAGGTACCAACACAGTTCCTGTATTTAAAGTGGAGAAGCTCAGAGACCAATGGATCTAGGCCAGGTAACAAACAACTATCCAGTGAAATCTGATAGAGGTGTTTACCAATAGAGAATTATAGAACAGGAATGTGGTTATTTGCAATGTGGCACCCAGCATTTTATTCATAATAAAGTTGTGTTTGATAAAGTAAATTCATAGCATTGTGGTAGACCATTTTTATAAGGCATGATCTATTGCTATAAAGAAAATTATGGTATGCTGCATTGATTAAAAAGATGTACTATGCAAAGTCAATAAAGCATACATTAAGTGAATGCAGACTTGACATTAGGAAAGATTTCTTTACCAGGAGGGTTGTCACACTGGAACAGGCTTCCTGGAGAGGTGGTTGATGCCCCAAGCCTGTCAGTTTTTAAGAAGCATTTGGACAATGCTCTTAACAGCATACTTTAACTTTTGGTCAGCCCTGAAGTGGTCAGGAAGTTGGACTAGATAATCACTGTAGGTCGCTTGCAACTGACAGAGTCTTCTATTCTATTCTATTCTATTCTATTCTATTCTATTCTGAATATGTGTAAATAACCAATGGGAGGCCATAAAAAAGATGCAGCCAGAGTCTTTGCAGTGTTACTGGGTGATGGGACAAGAGCAACGTGCACAAACTGAAATGCAGGAAGTTCCATTTAAACACAAGAAAAATGGCTCTATGGTGATGGTGCGACGTTTGCTATTCTGTCTCTGTCTGTGAAGATATTAAAAAGTTGACTGGACAAGGCCCTGGTCAACCTGCTCTAGTTGTCTTTTTTAAGTGGGAGGTTGGACTAGACAATCTCCAGAGGTCCTGTCTAGCATCAACCATGCTGTGATTCTGTGATGTTTTTCCTTTTGAGGACACTCTGTGTTGCAGCTGGAGATGTGTGGGGCTTTCAGTATCTTTGCTTTGTAACTGCTCAGCATGGCAGTCAGTGGTATCAGCAGAGCTGAGTGCAAGATGCAAAACTGGCGTGACAAGAAAGGATTAGCAAGATTTTAGGGTTTATTCCAAATTAAGGCAAACCTCAACTGGTGGAACACTGACATCTTTGGGGAAAGAGATGAAATTGTCTAATTCCATCAGGACCAAGGCTGTTTTTTTGCAGGAGCCAATCATGCCAACGCAGATCAGGGATTCGGTGCTGCCCAAGGAAGCCCATGGGACAGAGGCTATTGGTAGTAGAGCAGTGGCAATGACCAGGATTGTTTCTCTGTGTCCTTTAGTGCAGAGCCTTAAGACTTTGGCAGAAGGGGTTTCTGCTGCCGGAAAGTTGTGTGATATGTAGCTAAGTGATGAAATCAACAGTGTGACTGCATCATGCGTGTGATGGTGGTGCGGACAGGGTTACACTGAAGCAAGTGCAGCAGCGAGCACAGCGGCAAAAGCCCTGCCCTGAGCCAAGTCCCCAGCCTGGGCTCCTTTTCTCAGTGGCTTAACCATAATTGCAGCTGGATTTCTTAAATCAATGAATAAACAGACCTGTTGAAGCCTATCTCCAGGGGGTCTGAAAAAAGATCTGCTTGTCCCCATCACCCCCGCAGCAGCTGCTGGGAGAGGCTGAAGGGAAGGGAGCTGCGTGCAAATAGGCTGGCCCTTTGCATGCCCAGCCGCTGGCTGCAGGAGGGCTGGCCAGGAGCCCGGCACCATAAAGGGCAGCATTTCAGCTAGTGTGGGCACAAGGTATGGGGTGGATCTGGTGTCATCCCCAAAGAGGCATCAGGTGGCTCCAAAGGGGAGGGAAAGACATGGTACTTCACTCCTCTCTGGGATGGAATGAAGAGATAAACGGGGTAATTACAGAGGTTGCCGCACTGTGTGAGTTCTGGCTGCAGTGTCTATGGCCCAAGAAGTGTGAATCCAGGCCCTAGTCCCCTGGTGCCTACAGCACACTGCACACACAGGCTGGGAGCATGGATCTCCTGGCTTCTGGTAGGATGCGTGGCCTATGTTTCTGGATACCCTTGTGCACCTCAGTACAGATTCTGCTCCCTCTTCTGCACCACTCACTCCACATGGCCCCGGAATAGTCATGCTCAGCAGCAGCCTGGGAACTGCGATGCAGACCAGAGCCCGCAGGGTGCAGGGAAGGGCCACCACTTTGGTATTGCGAGGGCAGGGTGATGGGTTGAGCCTGGATCCGTTAACTGGACAGATCCCTTGGTCATAACACTCCTTCCAGTTTGGAAGTGTCAGTAGGAAGCAGTGGAAATGGAAGCTGTTTGCTAGGCAGAGATGTGAAAATGCAGACAGATATGAAAGTGATTGCCCTAGGTCATGATAATGGTCAAACAGTGCCACAGACGAGTCATCTCTGAATTAAAATCTTGATTGTTGAAGAGAGCACTTAGGCAAATTATTTCGGCTAACCTCAGGTCAGCAATGTCCAGCATACAGACTGTGTTGTGATGCTGGCTGGACTCGGGACATAAAAGGGAGGGCAGGACCATGTTGGATACTGGGGTCAATGTCATCTCCTCCTTCTACAGGAAGACTACTGAAAGTTGCTCTATTGGACTGGCTGACCCAGTGACCAAAGTCAGGGCAGAGGTCCAGCCTTCAGCACCTCTCCAGGTAGGTTTCTGGTGTCATTTGTAGAAACTTGCAGCATATAATATTCCTTTTGCAGCACATAATAATCCTTCTGCCTTGCTGACTCACATTATGGTACTTTCATCCTTTCCCATTTAAACCCTGTTAAGTATCATTACTAGAACGGTGACTGAAGTTTCTTAGGAAGGGTCGCAAAGGAGTAATTATCCATATTCCCCAGTTCCCTCATAGCCTTGTCTCCTGAATAGAACTGCATGCTGACCATCCTGTGGGACCCTTCCCACTCTGCACACGGATTTCAGATCTTAAGTCTGCAGAGGGACTGAGCACCAGATCCCAAAAATGAGTGGGGGAAAGCATCTCAGGCCAGAGAACATGATAGGGCAGATGCAAGACTGCATAGCTCCTGTGCCTGCCTCCTCCCACACTGCTTGTTCTTGAGTTTTGACTTTCACTTCAAAGACAAAGCAGGCCAAAGCTTTGATAAAAATCACAAAACGTGACCCTAGTCTGAACAGCTGTCCTTCTGAGCACAGGGCTGGAAAGAGACAATAGCTGGGGGATGAAGATGGTGGGAATTTGTTAC